TGATCTGGCTACTGGTGTGGGACCCAGGCCTCAGTCACAACTGCCCTGGGGGCTGGGGGGAGGCTGGGCTTTTGCCACAGACCCCAGTCCTCATTGGCAGAGACTTGCTGCCCAGTAAGTGCAGGGGTTGACGGAACCGAGGGACAAGCAGAATGGCTCACTGGGTGGGAAGAGGTGGGCAGTAGCAGAGACTGCCCAGGAGTGAAAGGTGGGTCTCAAGATCTATCCAAGCTAAGTCATGAAGGACGTGGGACTCCAGAGAGCAGATGATATGGTGGTGGGTGGATGTTTCCTATTTTTTTTACACACTGTTTATTTTTCTGAGCATCTCATGGTGGGACTACTTCTCCCCAGTCTCAGCCCATGTGGTTTACATGGGGCTTCCCCATCCTTGGCAATATAACACAGACCTCCAATAGAAGAGCCACCCTGAACACGTGTGCTGGAAGTACTGAGAGACACACTCGTCTCCCATGGTCCTGGAGGTGCTCGAGGCCGTCTCCACTGCATGGAGAGGGAGAGGCTGCCTGAGGAGACGTTAAGAGGTGTCAGAGTTGGCTGCCTTGCATTTCATTCCTTACAGCTAAAGGAGTCCTGACCTGGACAGAGGCCTGCCACTTCAAGCTGCCTAGTAGCCCCACTGGAGCTGCTCTACCCATATTGGATATTCCTTCTGTGGCCTCTCCTTAGGCAGGAACTTGACTCCCTGTTCCAAGCTGGTACCCTGGTACAGGGCACTGAACATTTGAAACTCCAATGTGATGGTATTTTTGTGTGTGTGTGTGTGTTTGTGAGACAGAGCCTCAAGCTGTCACCCTGGGTAGAGTGCCATGGTATCACAGTTCACAGCAACCTCCAACTCCTGGGCTCAAGCAAGTCTCCTGCCTCCGCCTCCCCAAGTAGCTGGGACCACAGGCGCCCGCCACAATGCCCGGCTATTATTTTGGTTGCAGCCGTCATTGTTGTTTGGTGGGCCCGGGCTGGATTCAAACTCGCCAGCTGAGTTGTATGTGGCTGGCACCTTAGCCACTTGAGCCACAGGCGCTGAGCCCCAATATGATGGTATTAAGTGAGGCCTTGGGGGTGATTAGGCCATGAGGGTGGAGCCCACATGAGTGGGATTAGTGCCTTTAGAAAAAGGACTCCAGAAGGGTCTCTTGCTCTCCTTCTGAGGATAGAGGAAGATGACGGCACACTTCTGCAACCCAGAAGGGGTCCTCACTAAAATCTGACCATGCTGGCACCCTGATCTTGCACTTCCTGCCTCCAGAACTATGAGAAATAAGTCTGTTTTCCAAGTCACCCAGTCTATGTACTGTCAGGTAGTTAGTGGGACATGAGGAGGGTGGATGGCAGGCATAGTTAGGCAATTTTTTTTTAAGACAGAGTTTCACTGTGTCACCCTTGGTAGAGTGCTGTGGCATCACAGCTCACAGCAACCTCAAACTCTTGGGCTTAAGTGATTTATCTTGCCTCAGCCTCCCAAGTAGCTGGGACTATAGGCACCTGCCACAACACCTGGCTATTTTTGGTTGCAGTTGTCATTGTTTAGCTGGCCTGGGCTGGGCTCAAACCCGCCAGCCTCGGTGTATGTAGGAGGTGCCCTACTCACTGAGCTATGGGTGCTGAGCCAACTTTGGCTATTTGGGATTGGCTTGGGTAAGGCTGGCCTGAGCTGTTAGGAGAATGGGGCTAATTGAGACCTTGCGGGTGGGTTGTCTTGGGGAGCTGGTTGTTTTGGGGGGAGGACTGATTAATACTGCTGGGACTTTCTGATGTGGACAAATAGATACGAATTGTTATAGGAACATGTTGTTGCAGAGTTGATCAAGACCCTGGGAATTTCCAAGAAGCAGTTGACACCCCCTATAAGTTGTGTATAAAATGCAGCACTGTGCTCTCCGAGATGCCTGAGATCACTAGGATGGGACCCAGTTTGCTGCCCAAATCATTAAAATAAACTTTGCCTTCCTTGCTAAAACTTTACTTGTTCTTGCTCTCTTCAGTTATTTCGGTGACTACCTGAGCTGTCACCACGTCGCCCCAATAGTACTGTGCTGTTGCAGCCTAAACTAAGGCAACAGGAAAGGATCCATCCATGCTTACTGTGAGTTGACACCCCTGTGCTCCCTGGTCCAGGATCACTGACCTTTAAAGCCTGTTGCTGATTGGGATGGGAAGGGAAGAAAGAAAGGTTCACTCAAATCCAGACACTATGCTGAGTCATTATCTCATTTAAGCCCTGGAGCAACCAGCAACTCTTTTTGAAGAGGGGAGCATCTTTGAAATCTCTTGAAGTGATGGCCTTTGGTGAGCTGCTCTCCAAGTCCCCTGGGTTTGGGGTGGAAACTATCAGGTCCTGTGTACTGCAGAGGTGACTGTGCTCTGTGCCTGCTGCAAGAGGAGGTCCCTCTTTTCTTTGACTCAATGCACCTGGTCAGGTATATTATTGGGCCGCATAGTTCTTTTGTTTTGTTTGATTGTTTGCATGGATTTTTGTTGTTTTTGTTTTTGTTTTTGTTTTTTTTTAATAATTTAGTGCTTCTCAGGCTGATTTGCAGCCCCACACAGACTCTGGTGCAGAATGTGCTCACCGGCCAGCCCTGGCTCTACGGTAATCCTTTTGCCTGAATAACTGGCCACTGGCTGTGGCCAAGCCAGGGGCGGAGCTGACCCCAGTGGTGGATGGGGGCCAGCCAGGCCTTGCCCTGTCACACACAAACAGCTCTCCCGAAGCCCCTCTACGAAAAGCAACAGAAAACAAAGACTAGGGAGCAAAGTTAATTTATTTAGTCTTTTTTTTAAACAAAAAAAAATTTTTAAGTATAAAAAGACAATCACTTACATTTGGGAAGTTTCACACTCTGACAATGAGTCATAGTGCCAGGTTTTGTGAGCAAAAGGCTCAAGACACCGCCACCTGGTTAGGAGGCTGTGATGACCTGTGGCTTGTTTCCCTGGCTACCGCACAAGCCTCTGCTCCAGAACTTGTGACCTTAACTTTTTTAACGACCAACTTCTTTCCCTCTCAAGCTTCCTTTAGCATGACCTTTTCCCTCCCATCTCTATTTTGTCTGCCTTTCAGTATAACCCACGGCTCACATCTTTACCTCTGCATCTCCACACACCAAAGCTTCCAACAAAACGGCCTCTTCCCTGCAGACTCACATCCCGCATCTCCTTCAAAATTGACCTCAAAACACCTCTCTTCCAGAAAGTGCTCTGGTCTTCCCTGCTCCAGTCTCTCTCTGGAGAGGATTACGTGGCTCGGAGAATGCTCTGGGAGTCAGAGGACCTGGTCCTGCTACCTGCCAGCTTTATGCTCTTAAATATTTTCTTATTTGAAAGCCTCAGTTATCCTGCTTCAAAGGGATGTGGCTGCATAGTAATAGATGCTAATGAAAAGTAGGTGCCCTGAAAAGTAAAAAACGCTACGAAGTATAGGCAGGGTTGCCTGTGGGCCCCTGGGCACTGACACCCTCAGCTCATACCATTTCCCACCTGCCGATGACCCTGATGCTTTTGGTTATTCGGCTGCTGGGCTGAAACACCCACCTCAGCACATGGGTGAGTGGGGTTTGAACATTGGGAACACAAGGTCCCTGGGGGCAGGACTGGGTCTTTATGTCTACTTGGTGAGCTTCTCTAGCTCACAGCACCAGTTAGGGCTGAGCACGAAGGAGGTGCTCAGTCTTAAAGTTTATTGCTCTGATTCAAGTTTCCTTGGACAGATCCACCACAGCGTGATTTCTACATCACGGCAGCAAAATGGTAGAAAAACCCAAGCCTTCTTGTCCATCCCATAGAACATGAGAAGAGTGATTCTATTGGCCTGACCTGGGCTCGTGGCATTCACTCAGCCGTGCCTGCCCAGGTCTTGGGGCCACTTGCTAAAGAATTTTGCTTTCCCATTGGAATAAAAATTAACAGTCTTGGTGGGAGACTTGGCTTTGCTTTGAATTAGCCAATCAGATGAGAACTATAATTTGGTATGCAAACCTGAAACAGGGATAATAAACCCAGAGTGAATCAACCCTGGACCATTTGGAGGGACCCTTGCTCTGAGGAACACTGTCTCTGCTGTGGGACCCTCTCTCCCTGATAGAAAAGATCACTCTCCAACAGTCAGAGGCAGCCAGATCTCACCACTGCCCTGACGATAGTCTCTAGCTTCTCACCTTCCTTTCACAGGGGCTCTCCTAGACCTCATAGCTCCTCCTCCTCTGCCCCCTGTGAAAGAGTTATTCTTTGCTATTTTCATGAAGAACATCTTAAGTGGTTACAGAAGATCAGAAAACTACCTCACCCCTCCTAAAAAGCCCAATACACAAACGTTATTCAGAAAACACATTCTGGATCCCTCCCTTGCCTGCTAACCCCTGGGTGCACATATTACAGTTGACAAAATTAATCTTCTTTTTGAAAGAACCTGGTCCTTGAATCTCTGCTCAGGGCAATGCCATTGCAAGGACTGTGACTTAGCATCACAGCAGAAACAAAATCAGTTATAAGAGAACTAATCTGAGAGCCACCTCTGCCAGCTTTTGCTCAGACAATCCCAGCCTTCAAGTCACTCAGTATGGGTTTGCCTTGGCCAGACCCTTTGATGAGATTGGAAAAGCACCACAGGAGCATGTCTGTCCTTGGCTGGCCCCAAAGAGCCTGGGAAAGCCAATGCTTTGCTTCAAATCCATCCAGAATAAAATACATAGTAAATAAATGAATGCTTCCAACTTGTGCTGCTTGGGAGTTTCCAGCTGTGTATGGATGTAGCCTTCATGGTACTCCTCAGAATTCTTGGATGGAATCTTGTTCTGATTGTGTAAATCACCCCAGGTCACATTGAAGCATGCAGTGAGAGGGAGACAAAATGGGGAGGGGACAAGACAGCTCTTGTTGAAGGCTGAAGAACTTGGTGAGAATCACAGACATAGCCCACTCTGCTGGATAGGCCCTCCCTTCCATGGTGAGAGTGGGATCATATATGCATATATATTAATATATCTTTGGTTTCAAGCAACATGGAAGCTTAGGGCCTTATGCCTATCCAAGGATGGCCTAGAGCAGTGAGAGAAATGGACAGAGTCCTGGATAAGAGTTGCCCACATGAGGCTTTCTTCTCCTGGGGACACCTGGAAGCCAAGGTTTCTTCCCTCCATGTCATCCTTGGGGGAAGAGCAACCTTGATGGGCTCAACACCCAGGGCTGAGGTCCAGCTGCCGCAGCATGTCCTGCAGAGACCCCTGCAGCCTGCTCAGGGCCACCACCTCTGTGGAGTAGAGTGAGGCTTCCAGGACACTGCCTAGGTTTGCCAAAGTCTCCAGGCCACTGGTCCAGGGCAAAGGGCAGTTCTTTGAGGAGGCTAGCAGGTGGAGAAGGTCCCGGAGGTTCTCCAGGTCATTAGATATTTGGATCACATTTCTGGAAGGCAGGCTGGTGAGGATCTGTTGGTAGACTGCTAACGTCTGGTCCATCTTGGACAAGCTCAACACAGGGTGGACTGCAGGAATGAAGTCCAAACCGGTGACCCTCTGTTTGGAGGAGACCAACTGCTGTGCAGGAGGAAGCAGGACAGTAGTAAGTGCTCAGTAAGGCGGGAGAGGGGGTCATTATCAAGGCTCTTTGCCTTCCCCACAACCACTGAAGCTCGTTCTCTGGGCTCCTTCCCCCTCTTCCTCACCATTTTGGTCCAGGCCCCTATTTCCTGTGCCCAGGTCCCTATTTCCTGTGCCCAGGTGACTACTGAGCCCTAAGATGGTCTCCTGAACTCTTGCCCTTCCCAAACGACCTCACCCCTCCACTTCTTGCCCTTCCCAAACCATCTCACCCTCCACTTCCAGACCAGCGTTCCCTTCTCCTAATAGCCTCTGCAGAAAAACCAGCCATGATGCCCTAGTTCCTCCCCAGGCACCTGAGGTCCTACATAAGCACCCTCACCCCCCAGCCATCCCACTGTCCCCACCCTCAACAGACTCCACCCTCCCAGTAAGTTCTTCATGAAGCCCACCTTCTTAGGCTGTGCCCCCTGGGGAGTCCCACCTCCCTCTACTGCTCCACTGACTCTCTTGACAGGAGGGGCTCCCTGTCCCACTCCTGAAGCACTGAGGCTAACCACCCCAGCAGTCTCCCCCTTTGCTCCTGTGATAGCCTCTGTTGGCACCACCCAACTTGGGACATGTGATAGCCTGTGTTGGCACCACCCAACTTGGGACATCTGGTTCTATCACAGGCAGCCTTGTTGAAGGATTATTTTCAAAGAAGGAAGCGTAAAGGTTTTTCTCTATGACATGCTCAAAACTCTAATTCGGAACTGTCTCTGCTTCTAGACACTTCTTCCTGGTTTTCTTTATTT